CGCTCTTGTAATACCCATTGGACACTAATATTTGACAGTAGAAAATAGAAGAAACAGGAAAATCTCTTGCCATTAAGATCAAAAGAGAGTGAGCGTACACTTTGACATTTCTCCTTTCCTGCAAGGAGTCCCTGTTTTGCAAAGCAAATTCCACCATGTTATCCTTGAGCTCCTGCAGAGGAAAGATAAAAGGTGAAAATCTGGCGCTTTGAAAGTCAACATCCAGCTTCCTGCCAGCTTCAGGTGAGTCAGGTTTGAGCCCTGCTTTCCTGTAGGAGAAATGGGGCCACAAAGCTCCAAAGCACGCTCCTCAACTCCTTGGAAGCTCAGTGTGCTGCAAAGGCACAACTGCACCTCCCAGAGGGTTATGTACCAGGGAACTGCAAGAGGACCACAGCACAGAGCCCAAAAACCTTCCCAAACCACTGAGTACATAACAAAGGCACTGAGCCCCAACCAACCACAGCCATTAGGTCTACACGAGCTGTCTCGTTGACAGTTATCAGTAACATCTCTCAGTTGATGTAGTTTAAGTCCCTGTAGAGTAACTGGTGCTTCTATAGAGGACAGCAGGGCATTTTACAGCTGGGAGTTGGTATGCAGGCACAAAACATCTCTGGTTTTTCACACTTTGCAGAGCAAACTGAGGTTCCCACAGGGTTAAGGGCAGGAGAGGGCTCACGATGGATGAGAAGGTCCTTGTATGGGAAAAGCTGGGAATCACTGCTATAGGAAGGAAGCCAGGACTTATACTATCATCTGCTTCACGGGTGTCCAACCTTTTGGCTTGTCTGGGCCACATTAAGTGAATGGCAATTGGGCTGCATACACAAAGGTCGCTCCAAAAGTAATGCCTCCTGTCTACTTCCATGGAAAACTACAACTGGAACAAAGAGCACAGTAACACTATTTGATAGAGCCAAATCTCAGCTACAAAACACTATTTTTCTACATAGTCACCACCATTAGCTCTGCTATTTCACCAGCATTGTACAAGAAGCCTACATGCCACACTTGTAAAATTCTGCACCAGTGGAGGTAACCACTGTCAGCAATGCGGAAATGCAGCCCACCCACTGCCTCTCTGTGTTCACATCCACTGGTTGGTCTCCATAAATATTCAGCATATGTCAATGAATGCCAGTGAGTGTCATTTTTTTCCTCGTGGAGGAATTTGATGACACACTTTTGCTCCATACGCAATCCGTCCATGTCAGATGCCATTCTGTCAGACTGCCTCTCTGCTGCCATATGTCACACAGCAACAGGAATATTGGTGGGAAGGGTCAGCCTTTGCTGCCAAACCACCAACACAGCTTCAGCTCACCTATTCTCCTTCCCCTTTGGCAAAAACCTGGAGGCATTGTGGAATTGTTCTCCCTCAGTGCTAACATCCCCAGGTCATTGTCAGCCGTGCTTCCGACAGGATAACAAGTGCAGCATGATAATATTTAGCATATTAAAATACTTTGTGAGAACTAATTAATACATTTACATAATGCTCCCAAGAGACACTCTGATCACCAGTTACTACTTATGAGCTCAACACCAGTTCTTTCAGGCACATGTGAAGCACACAGCGCAGCTCCTGCTGTCCTGTATCACTCCCATCCCTGGTGTGATACCCCAGGTGAACATTACTTACTTACTTAATCTGGAACAGGCTGCCCAAGGAGGTTGTGGATGCCCCATCCCTGCAGGCATTCAAGGCCAGGCTGGATGTGGCTCTGGGCAGCCTGGTCTGCTGGTTGGTGACCCTGCACACAGCAGGGGGTTGAAACTACCCAGGCCATTCTATGATTCTGTGATATGATTCTATAATTCTTACCATGGGAAGGCCCTGTCCTATGCAAAGCCCAATGTCAGCACCACCAAAGCGGGACTCAGAATGGTGCATCAGCCTGCTGTAGTGGCCAGAGCATCTTGAACAGCACTGCTGCTCACGGTGATCTCGTGCTCTAAGGAGGTTTTCCCTCATTTCCCAGTCTAACAGATGCTCTGTCTCTACTTCAGAAGACAAAAGGTACTTTCTTGTCTCCTGTCCTTTGCACGCAGTGACCTCCCCAAATCACCTATTGCTCCTCATGTCTTTTTGGCTATGAACAACACTGCAGCTGACAAACCTGCAGCCCACAGACGTGCTCCTTCGGAGATACTGCTCTGGAGTTCTTGTGCTGCTGACTCAGGAAGGAGTTTTCCCCAGCTTACTCTTAACGCTTTTCACCTGATTAACGATTCCGTCTTTTTGCTTCGAGCATAAATCACCCTCCAGATAAAGCCTTGCTAGAAAGCTTTCTTTGGCCCCAATTAAAACGAAACTCTGGAATTATAAACAGCGGATCAGCAAGGAAAAACTGGGCTGAGATTTGTGAGCCAGCATTCTCTCTGCCCTCCTAATTCCTCAATTTATCACGGGAGGAGTGGATACCCGCAAGGTAATTACTGACTGCAAAGCCTTGCCTTTGATGGCAAGGAATGTATGGAAGTTGCATCTGCACACCATGTGAAGTCATGAAGAAATGACTCAATAACCTTCACAAAGCAGCTCTCGCTGGAACCTTTGGAAGGACCTGAGCCATCGGACTCGAACCCAAGCTCCCTCTTTTCGTGAGCATCGGTTTACATCAACTTTCAGACGCAGCCCTCATTTTTCTGTCTTGAAGCTGCTTTCAGGGCAGACAGCTCTGTCCCCTGGTAGTGTCAATGCAGAAGTGGTAAAGCAGTCTCACCCCGCGACTGACCCCATCCTGACTGCAAAGACAAATTCGAGCTCTTAGCACCCCATAGCAGGAAGAAGAGCAGTAACAAAGCCCCATTCATGCAGCGCGATCAATCAATCACTATTTTGCAGGAGGAAATGAATGGCCCATTAAGGAAGCAGTCGGTAACCTCAGCTTCCCCGTAATTGCATTCAGTCCTACGCTGCCTGGGATTTCAACCCTAAGGACAGACCCGAGTTGGGCCATTAGGAAGAAGAAGGGTGAGCAAAAGCAAGGCAGCAAACCCACCCCAGCCAAGCAAACCCTGCATATGGCAGCGGTCAGATAAGGGCAGGGGAAAGGGAAGATCAGCCTTCCTCTGTTCCTACATGGTGGGAGAAGCACCAGCTTTCTTCCTTATTAATGCACAGTCACAGTTTACACAGACTGTATCTTGTAGTCTCACAGACCTTTGCAAATCTTAATTAAGCTACACATTGGAAGTAGGTTCATAGCTCCAACGAGGATCCTGCACCTGGGGAATGCAGCTTTCCTTCAGGAGAGCTGGCAGAAAAATGCATTCCACCACTGCTGGATGCAAGAGGCAACACTTCGTGATAATCCAGTGTGGCTGCAGTAGGAACTCATGATTGCAACTGAGATGTGGGACAGGTCAGAGCTGGAAGGACACTTTGCACTGCTGTTAGCCACAGATACCCACTGCACTGCGTGTGCTGCCATAACTGCAGCAAGGTTTGGGCTTTTACTTCTTATTTTTTCTTTCTTTTTTTTTTTTTTCAGTTTTCTTTTTTTGCTTCTTTTTGACAAACCTCGAGTGGGCATGGGAGAAACCAAGATGAAAGCCAAGCAGCTAGGGAACAGCCAATGACTGAAGCTGTGAAAAACTTAAGGGTGCATCTTCTCCACCCACATCTTTTCTTGGCTGCTAACCTACAAAAGGACAGCCAGCTCTTCAGCCAGCAGAGCAGCACGGGGATGGGGCTGAGGAAGAGGGGCAGAGCTGGCTGCAGGCACCAGATGTGGGAAGGCTGCAAAGTGGTTTGGTAGCACTGCACGCTGCAAATAAACCATCCAGAGATCCTCCAATCCAACAAAGAACCCATTGAAACCCAAACAGGACTGGGGGTCTCAGGCAAGGCCTGATGTTGTACAGCAAATGCATGCTGCATCTCATCCAGGCATCTATTTCCAATTAGATTAAGGGACATCTAAAATGATACTATAATAATTTTCAAAGCAGCCCCCACAATCAATACCCCAATACTAAACTCTGTTGTTTTTTGTTTTTTTTTTTGCATGTGGTACAAAAAGCAGTTTGGGAGAAAATGATCTAATACGCCACATATTGATTAATCAATCCCAGGAGGGATGCTAATGGGCTTTTCTTACAACAGTTGGCAATAGAGGAAGGAGTGGGATTGTTGAATGAGAGTGGGAGAACCAGGTTGTGTGATAAAGTTTCAGGGCAAGGGGATGCAATGGGGAAATGGACCCTTCTAGAGATCACTTTAAGCAGGTAAGGATTTGGAAGAAACGGAGGAACTGAGCCATGAATGGTAAAGGTAATAAATCAGATATATCAGCTTCAAGCACTGACGATTTGTACCTTGCAATTTACTGTGGTTGGTATTAATAATACTTCCCTGTTGCTACAGAAACCTTCACAGGAAGGTCTGCAGAAGAGCCCAGCGTGGGTCCAAACTCTATAATGAAGTAGATGGAATATTTTGTAGTCTTACCAGTCAGGGAAACGGTCTGTTAATGCCTGCTATGTTTTATTTTCCACACTGGCACTTCTGCCTAAGACAGGACGTGGTAATTCAGATCATCCACGCATAGCTGTCAGACCATTCTTTCTTCCACAGTCAACAGAAAGAAGCAGCTGATGCAGTCATCCATTGCTAAGTCATCCCCATTCCTAAAGTGAGTTGAAAAGTGCTGTGTCCTTTGTGCCCCTGTACTGGAGTACTGGATAAAGTCCTTTACTATCCTAGGAAATGGAAGTACAGAACACTTGGATCGTCCTTCAGAACCTGTTACATCCACTATGAAAATATGGGAAGAGCTTAACAAAGCAGGAAGGTGGGGACAGCTCTCCAACAGGCACAAGGCCCCCATTGATTCTCAAAGGCTCAAAAAGTAG